ATATATATATATATATATATATATAATATAATCAGAGCTAACATAAACAAAATATTGTAATGCAGAAGAATGGGTAAATCCGAAGGCATATATAATGTATTAATATCATCATCATTCCTAGCAAACATTATCTTACCGCATATACTGAGACAAAGAGCCTACTGTCCCAGCCTACAACCCATGGCCTTAAATCTCCAAGCTGCACCACCAACGCAACCACTGCGCTCATCACCGCTCCCATGGAGCAAATCAAAACTGTGAGGGAAAGTTCTGCAGGGAACGATTCTAGCGTATTTGACTGCAATGCATAATGTTAATCATCCATTTTCATGATGATTAAAATGGTTTTCTATCATAACATTACTGAAAATAGCTTTCATTACTAGTAGTATTAAGAAGAGGGACCAGGAGGTGTTGCTTGCTATAATGAAGAAAGTGCCCTGTAACCAATTAGAGCTGCCTTCGGCTTCTGTGATGTTATTCTGATCACCTCCTCGATTGAAATTCCATGGAAATGGCAAGTTGGGGCCTTGGTAAACGATCATCAGAACTGCTCCTGCCACGTTAGCGATTGTTCCAATAACCTTTGCTTGGCAAAATCTTCGCTTGATTTCCAGCTTCTCCATTCTAGTTAATAAAAAAGTTTATTTTGTTATGTATGACATTAGTAGATTATTAATAGAGGAGAAAATATTCAATTTTACATCTTTTTTTTTGCTTTTTGCAAGGATTCAATTTGAGACTCTAATTAAAAGTCAAAGAAAATAATGACAAAGCCTTCAATTGGCGTGTGAACAAGTAATAAAATAATCTTAGGCAGTGATTTAGGGATGGATTTAACTTAAATCCAGCCAAACATCGAAAAAATGAAACTTATATCCAACGATCTATTAAATTTGAAATTTTTTCGTGTTCTGTTACTGTTCATCACATTTCGTTCCTTTTATGATGTAAATCTGAATTTAGTAAATCAGAACGGGAGATGTATTTAAAGGATTTATTTTGCCTTTGATGCGCACCATCTCCATCGCAGGATTTATCTGATTTACTAAATCCTACTTGGGGTAGCAACCCCTTAGATGGAGAGTAAAAATAACTAACAAGTGTAACATTACCTTAGAGCAAGGACCATTAGATAAGTAATGGCAGGAATTATATTTTCCAGCGCAGAGGCAAAGCTTGCTGAGGTCATCTTCGCTCCCACGTAAAATGAATTTTGCTGAAGCACCGGACTATACAATGAAAACAGGTACAGCATCCGCCAATAAAGAGCATATCAATTAATGAATATTTATAACTAAAAAGAGTAACACTTTTTATTACAGAAGGATAGAAGAAGCATGGAAATTAAAGCAGAGAATCATTACTCCAATATAGCTAATGCCACTATCTTGAGGAAGATAGCCACTGTAATTCTGGGTCTCCGTTTACTGCACCAAGCAATATTTCATTATTTGTTGATATAAAGTTTAGCATATTTGGGGAATTAGGTGAAGAAGAGACCTTTCAAACCAGAACGCAAATGGCGCGATGAAGAGAGCACCAACAATGTTACGATATACAACGAGCACAAATTGGCTCATCCCATTCTTGAGGGTTGCCTCCGCGAGCACATACATGACGGCAAGAAGAAACTGCTGCAAAACCATGTAGAAGTAAGGCTTCACCTTCGGCAAAACTTTGAGGCTTTTGTTACTGATAGCCATCGTCATGGCTTGTTTTTCTTTTCAGCTCAGACACAGGCTGCTTTATACTTGAAACTAAAGTGAGACAGTATATATTATATATATATATATAGCGATTTTTTTTTTTTTTTTTATACAATCATGTTTGTTTTAGTGAAGCTTCTATTTTCTCAGACACAGGCCGCTTTATACTTGAAACCAAAGTGAGACAGTATATATTATATATACATAGCAATTTTTTTTTTAATACAATCATGTTTGTTTTAGTGAAGCTTCTATTTTTATGTCATTTATATTCGCTTTTAATCAAGTTCAATGAGGATTTGATTCTTCTTCAAAAAATTGGCTCATGAATCAGTCTAAGGTTTTGTTTGATTAAACTTTTACTTGTCAAAAAAATTGTAGAAAGCTGTTTTAAGAAAAACCGTAGTTTGAAGTTAAATAAGAATAATGTGCTGAAATTGTCCTGAAATAATATATATAAAAAAAGCAGAACAACCTAAAAAACGGGTGATCGACACATAGCATTTTTGAGTTACATCAAATGGAGATATCTGCCGAAAAAAATCATTGGAAATCATGAGTATTCGCCATGCAATTTAGATTCTTGGATTTTTGTCCATCCAAAAATGATAATTGCCGGAAAGCATTTCTTATGCCCAAGAATCTACATGCCTCAGCGAAATTTTTTGCCAAAAACGTACTTCCAAATATTAAGCCGGAATGAACCCCCCTGCTCTGCCGGCCATTTTTCATACTGCGGAATTATGTTTAACGGGTTTTAACTGATTTTACATGTACAAGAATCTATACAACACATATAATTATGTTGTACACGAAGTTCGGATACATCCGGACTCCACGTTATATTCTCTCCAATGTTGTTTGACCAAAGTACGAGACAATTACAACGGGCGCCCAGAAGGGTGAAACACACATCGTGCAAATGAATGTAAAGATGTCATATGTTACATGACATTCACAAACGGAATGTACCGATAAAACATGATACCTATGGAGAGGAATTATGCCTAAGGTGCCATGCGACTAGCAGACACCGGCTATAAGTGAGTTTCCATCGAGTAAAAATAACACATACGAAAAGAATTCACACCTTACCCTAGAAGTACTCACCGAACAAATATGCAAACATGCAAGATGTGCATCAAGTGGACAGGAGTGCACCCAAGTGGTGAGAATGAGTCTGTTATGGAGACAATGACTCAGAAACAACAAGTATGACGTGAAGACAGCGACCCAACAGGTAGGTATGTCGAGGAGATAGTGCCTCCGGGATAGGCATGCCGTGAAGGTGGCGACCCGAAAGGTGGGAATACCGTAGAGACAGTGACCTGAAGAATGAACATACCGTGAAAACAGTGACCTGAATAAAAGGGTATGCTGAGGAGACAATGACCCGGAGGTGAGAATGTTGTGGTGGCAGTAACCCGAACAAAAGGGAATGTCGAGAAGGCAGTGACTCGGAGGAAGCGGTGATCTTCACTGGGGAGAACTGCCAACACACGTGCATGCAAATGCAAACACATATGGTGCAACATGTAAGCGGACAACCATGCAATATTATGCAAAAGCATATAAGCATTCAAGTGGCCAGTTGACCGAACCGTGGAGGACAGTTAGACTGAAGAAGCGGATGAATCAATCCAGGGTAATTGTTCTGGCTTAAAAGGAAGGGTGATTAGCTTAGGACGACCGATCGAACCCAAAACAGGTGATCGACACGTAGCGGATGATCAAATCCAACAGATATGGTGATTGACCTGAGATGATCGATAAAACCCAAAATGCGTGATCGACATATAACAGTTGATCAAACCTAATAGATAGAGTAATTGACGCGGGACGGTCGATCGAACCCAAGAGGATCGGGGATCGACCTAGGAAGACCGATCGACCTGAAATGCTAAATCGATCATGCATGTAATGCAACAAATGGGCACATGCAAAATGCAAAAAGATGGTTCGTGCACATGCGATACAACCCTAACAATTGACAACACGTAAAAACTCATCCTTATGGCCTCATGTAGGTACCTAGGGTTGATGCTGTTGGATTTGCGGCATAGCCGACTCCAGCTTTGGCATGACAATGTGTAGGGCTTCCTCCTCCGATTTCTTTTAGAGGAAACTCTCCACCGTTCGTAGGGCAGACTAGCTACAAATATTTTTCCTCTCTATGAATGCCCACAATCTTGTAGGATGGACTGGCTATAAAGCATTTTCCATCCTCGAGATCAAACTCAACCAACCTCTCCAAGAGAGTTTAGGAATGCCAAAGCCGTAAGAAATTGAGATTCTACCCGCAGGATTAATACCTAAGGATCATAAGGGGGAATCACTCAGCTCCGAATAGAAATAACCAACACACGTGATTCTTAACCTAGGGCTTTTTCTAAGGAAAGCAACAATCCATTACATAGGACGCCCAGTCGTGCCGAAAAATGTCGGCTGGCACATCCACCCCGCACAGGCGATCAATACCACGCGCTTAGACTAGAATAACCCCTAAAGCCGGCTAAAAGTTAGGAAACCTTACCATCGTAATGGTTGCGGACGTGTGTCTCCTCGTAGGAAGAAGCTCTCCTATCGGTAAGAGAGAAGCCCACGTTCCGACGAACTCTGGCGACGCTCAGGCGATGCTCTGACAATCCTTCCCTGAGCTAGGAGAAAGCTCTCCCCCGTTATAGGAGAGTTGTGCCTTGCTCACGTGATCTTCGTCTAAAAGATCCCCTCGCTCACTCAAGAAATGAAGAGGGAGAAGAAAGAGATGAGGAAAAATGAGGAAGAAGAAGGAGAATGATGGAGGCAAACTCCTTTGGCCTTCCTCTCATTGAAGCCCTCTCGAGGCACCCCAAGAAGCCACCTCCAAAGCCTTCTCAAGCTCTCTCCAAGAGCTTTCGCCCAACCCTAGCTAAAGAAGAAGAAGAAGAAGGCGGAGTGGGATCCCTCCTATCAGGGGGAATGGGGAGCAAGCAAAAATGAGAGGAAGGGGGTTAGGTTAAACCCTTCTCCCCAATGTAAATGATCAAAATGCCCCAAAAGGTGCTTTGGAAACTTTCAGAGGGGGATAAAGGGGAATTTCACCACCCCGGTCGCGATCGACGCCCAGGTGTCGCGTACTAGGTGCTAGTCTGGGCTCTTAGAAGACATTTGGGTGGCACCTAGGCGACCCTTGGATGGTGTCAGGGTGTCGTGCTTTAGAGAAAAATGAGGTTTTTAGCCTGTTTGGGTGCCTAGGCACCCTGATCTTCGACGCCTAGGCTTCAGACCTGTGCCAAATGTCAAAATTAGTGTTAGACCTTTGTAGGCTTGTTCACGATGATCCAGAAAGGTCTTTTGGGCGTTTGGGTGCCCGGGGAAGGAGTCGGGGCGCCGGTATAGTCTGAAACCCTGATTTTTGTCGGGAATGCCCGATGGAAGATTTTTTTCGATCTGAAGTTATTGTACACTCCATGTGAGTGAAATATAGTCCATAACTTCAAAATAGAGTATTTTAGTTGGTCATTCACTGGATAAATCAGTGACAACGGTCGTCCTAAACCACGGCGGGTAGGGTGTCATGAATCCTAATTTTCCCGTTGTGCACGTAGGTGAGCTCCATGATTTTCCACATTCCTGGGAGGCTTTAGATGGACGCGTGGTGACCTCTAATCATTTGATTAGGCACCAAGCACGCCTCACATCCCGGATGGGCTCTCTGAAGAGAATTTTCCCGGGTAGTGTTGAATCATCACTAAACCTAACTATTTGCCCCGAAAAAGTGTCAGAAGGTCCCTGGTGGGTGTCTTGAGCTACCATATGCTACAGACAAATCATAGACCACCCCGAGGCATGAAGGTGGACACCCTACATTTGTGACATCAAAAATAGATGCCAACAGAGATATATATAAATAGATGCCAACAGAGAGAGAGAGAGAGAGAGAGAGATATATATATATATATATATATAATAAAAAAATATAAATGTAATTAATTGAATTTTCATATTTATTAAATCTACATTTTATCAGAACTTCTTATATCTCAAAATATAGACATAAAGAATTATGAAAAATTATTCAATAAATAGGAAAATATATTTAGAACACTCGTGAGAACATTTTACAAAACAGACGCCAGGTAGCTCTACAAAACCCACTTGTATGAGGATGTACCAAATCCTTAAGGAAGACAAATCCAACAATTTATTTTCCTTTTATTGAAGCTCATAGAAGTAGACAAAGTACACTCAAAATATAACCAAATATGCACTATAATTTGATGATGATAATTTATAAATCTGAAATGAAACCAAACTATTAAAAATGATGATACAATTAAGCATTAAATTGACTCCAAAAACTTCAAAAAAATTAGTAAACATCAAATAAACATGCCAGACATTCTAGATATCAAAATTAAATCTCAACAGGTACACTAATATACTACATCAGCAGTTAATACATCGCTCCTGTCATGAAATTGAGCCGCACTCCGCTCTTTAATTTTCACCTAAGGGTTTTGAACACAGTAAAACTTAAGATTGGGCTATATCAATTATGAGAACATTTTTTATTCCCTTGAAGCACTTCACTAGAAGATGTCACGAGCCTTAACGTTTTCTATATATAGATTCTATAGGTTTAGTTATGTGTGAAGAAATAATCATAGAAATAGAGTATTATAAAGAATTTAGGCCATCCATCACGAAGGAAGCAGTGTCTTTAATTTATTTGTTTATAATACCATCTGTAACACTTGTTCAACCATTCAATTTTTGGAAAATTTACGTACTAATTACATAATTTATGTATTTATGTAACAAACACTTAAACATTTACATTTATGACATTTTGGTATCATAAGCATATACATGCAAAGGTGCATTTCACTTTTCAAAACTAATTAAGATTATTACGTCTTTTGAATGTACTGTCAAATGTTGTAATGGTGAATGACCCTATGAGTTTAGTTGCAAAAGAAACTGTTTTTAAAAAGCTACGGTGATTATTACAAGTTTATTTC